CACACACACACACACACACACACACACACACACACACACACACACACACACACACAACCACACAAACATGGTGAACCTTGCACCTTATAGTATATTGCTCATCTGTACTTTTTTTGTTTATGGATGGTTTCTGATAGTATGTGCATGGAATGAGAGAGAGAGTCTGGGGATGTTGACTAACACACACACACACACACACACACACACACAGCTACTGTGCATGAACACCTAATTCTAGCTATGGCTACCACACTCGCTCAATCTCTCTCTTAATCTACCTCTCTTCCAGTGCTACTGCATAGTACCATTTCAGCAAGTGCAAGGCAGAATTCATGACCAAACAAGCTGGGCCAGACCAGTCTTTTGTAGTGTTTGACCCCACATGGCCTCCCTTTTCTCTTTGCAGTGTTTGCACGAATGGCTGAGATTCTTCCATCTGAGAGAAAGCTGTAATTTGGCTGCGGCCCAAGGCTACTGTAGTCCAGTAGGCCCTGGATGTTTCGGGAAATGGATTCTGATCCGCTTTTGGATTTGTGAGTGATCTGTGGCTGTGGTTGACTTCTTGAGACATCTTTGACTTTCGGATTGTTGACCCCGGTAGAGCCAGATGGTAAACTTTCCCGGGCCCTTAGTTCTCATTGCCAGGTCATATGGACTCAGTCTGGATGCTGGACCCCTCCCATCTTCCCCCAGATAGAACACACCGTCTTCATGAATGTATACATTGTATACAAGCTATTTGTCCTGTATAATAGAGTGACGATGAGGGTGCATACCTTCTTCCCTCGAATAGAACATATCGTCATTTTCGCTGCATCTGGCCAGAAAGCTGAGCAAAATACGGCTATTCCGTAGGACGTGTACATTCTATTCGAGGGAAGACAGTAGTGCTCAGGTTAAGACGGTAGCCTACCGACCTGAGGACCTCTGTTTGAGTCCCTACCGTCCAACCCCCAAATAGAACATACCGTCATTATAGCTGCATTCGGAGAAATTTCAGTCTACATACAGCCATAGTGACCGTATGTTCTATTCAGGGGAAGACTCTAGGACCCTACAGGCCAACTTTTCAACCCAGAACTTTGAATCGGTCAAAAGCGACAACCCTAAGACTATTGACTTGGTCAACGCAGGTCTTAACCGCAGCTATTTGCTTTCATTGATAACGACTTCTAGCAAGCAAGAACGAGTTTGTCACCCACCGCTGCCTTCTCCAGTGCAATTGTCCCTGAGCGTCGGAGGTGGCCATGACTTCAACCAGTCAAGCTCCCGCACCTTCACGCCCTTTTGCTCTTCCGCATTGAAGCTGCAATTATTATGCAAGATGTTCCGGAGACAGTTGTCCAACACATCTTCACCCCTGTCTGTGGCACACATACACACACAGGTCGAGTCGAGTACAGGTCAGCAGCGTACAGGGGTCAGCATATCAGCATATCAGCATAACGGTCAGATAAGGTCAGCGGAATATGGTTGACACAGGTCAGCACATCCACATGAAGGGCAGATAGAGGACAGCAGGGCACGGCGACAACAGGTCGCCTTCATCCCTGTCCATGTTAACCTTCTCGAACCCCTGCCGGGCCCCCGGGGTCAGGGCTCGACAACCCTGACCTGACCATATGTTCTATATGGGGGAAGAAGGTAGTTACTAGAAGGCATTGAGTACCGACTGTCCTTGTGCAGGTTAGAGACAGACTTTTGGCTTTGAATGCGTGTGTGTGTGTGTGTGTGTGTGTGTGTGTGTGTGTGTGTGTGTGTGTGCATGCGTGTGTGTTTTAGGTTTTCCCCACAACAGCCCCAATTCCACCCAGGTGAATAGATTCAGAATCAAAGCAGTCTTTGTCCTATTGCAGACAATGAGAGCATTTGAGATGTCCAACATANGTGTGTGTGTGTGTGTGTGTGTGTGTGTGTGTGTGTGTGTGAGAGAGAGAGAGAGAGAGAGAGAGAGAGAGAGAGAGAGAGAGAGAGAGAGCAGAATTCACGAGACGAAGATTGAACTTGTGTCCATCCGATTCCATCGAGATTTGAACTTATGATCTGTTGTCAACAGCTAGATGTGTGTATCATTCAGTCACACAGCAGCCTAGCTCAGTTGGTAAGGCACGCAAGTGGCATTCAGGAGGTCTTGGGTTCAATCCCCATTGGCCTCATGTAACTTCCTGGGCAAGCTTGGCACTCGCCACCTAGAGATATGTCGTTGGTCCCCCCGAGTGGCATTGAGAAGAGACTGCTGATGTTCATAGGGGGAGGGGACCGGACGGGGGGCACAGTGACTGGCCATTGAAGAAGCTCGGTCCTGATGCTACCGGCTGACCCCTGGCCGGTATCGCCCACCTGCTGTAGCAGGTATTGCACCTGCTGGTGGGTGCAGCTCCCGCATGTTCCCTCATTGGAGGCTTGAGCACGGACGTGGCTGCTACGGGGTTCCCCGTAATACTATAATGACAATAAAAACTTATTAAAAAGGCCTGAAAGGCCGTCCTGTCCAGATTCGACACGTAATTGAATTGGTTGGGCTTTAAAAATTAGCCTTCAAAAAAAATAATAATAAAGTTTTAATATTTTATCAATAAACAATCGCCCGGGGAAGCAAGATTAGTAGATTGATTACCTGTGATGAAAACACAACGTGCAGCTCTAGCTGCAATTATCCCAGCCAAACCTGTTCGCAAATTCACACACACCACCAAGCCAGAGTGCGCAGTCCCCCCCCCCCCCCCCCCCCCCCCCCCCCCCCCCCCCCCCCCCCCACCCAGCAAGTCATATGTACAAGTACAGTACAAGGAGTAAGCGGAAAAAACAAGCAAACAAGAGGCAACTCTTTTCTGTGGCTGTTAAACTTGTGCGCACATGAAAGATGAGGGGGAAAGCAGAGGCAAGCAGAATTGAAAGGAATGAAAGCTAAGGAAAATAAGAGCAAAAGGAAACACTGAAACAGAATAGTTGCATGAGCAGCTGTCACTACTCCTGTGGCTGTTAGACTCATGGGCACATGAAAGATGACGGGGGGAGAGAAGACGGGGGGAGAGAAGACGGGGGGAGAGGGAAGAGGGGAGGGGGGGGCGCCGAGGGAGGAGAGAAACTGGAAGGAAAACCTAACAGTTCTGATACCCCCAGAATCGATAACTAGCCCCGTCGATAAGAGACCTGTTTTCTCTATATTCCTTATGAAAGCAAAAGCGGGCCCTGTGTGACGCTTTGCATGGGCCCAAGAAAAGCCGCTCAGGGGGCAGTACCAGGTGGGTCGCACGGCTGTCAGGAAGAAGCGCCCTTTGTTTTTTGGCTTTGGGGGGAAGACCGCATTTGGGAAACTTGGACCAGCGGGCCGCATGGGCTTCTCCGCCGTTTCGGCAGGAGCGGGCATGAGCGTGTTGCATGGGCGTTTGATTTCGTGATCGTCCCACAGCAGGGTTTGCTATTGAGTCATCAGGGCGTGTTTTTAAAGAGGCGGGTTTGCCGCGAGTGCATGTGGTGCGCGAGAAAGAGGTGGGTTAGCGACGACTGCGAATGGTGCATTCGGGACCGCTGCATGTGACCCACACACACTCACATCTCAACACGCATCGGTCTTCTTTCCCTTTTTCCTGTCCTGCAGAGGAGAAATCAATGAACCACAGGACGGCAAAGAGGGAGGGAGAGAAGCCGGTGAGGAACGCGTCGATGACGACTCATAGAGATTGTATGCATTGACAAAAGCCGGAGGGATGAGCAGCAGGGTGGGGAGTCCACAATGGGGGCGGAGAGGAGGCACCACACATATACATACAGAAACACGTTCACATGAGAACATGCATCGCTTGTTTTCGCTTTTCCCCATCCCAGAGAGGGCCAATCGACGAACCACACGACGACAAACAAGGAAGGGAAAGCCGGCCATCGAGAGAGAGCAAAATCTAAGAATCGATTCATCATAAGAGGACGAGATGGGAGGGAGAATATCCGTACAGAAACACATTCACATCGGAACATGCATCATTTTTTTTTGGCTTTTCCCCATCCTCGAGAGGGCTGATCAACAAACCACAAAACAATGAACAGGGAAGGGAAGTCGACGATCGAGGGAGAGAGGAATCGAGGAATCGATCAATCATAGGAGGATGAGACGGGAGGGCGAACAGTGAGTGACCGGAGGAAGAGGAGTCAACGACAGAGGAAAAGGAGGAGGAATCGACGGACAGTGGATAACGGGGGAAGAGGAGAAGGACTCAACGAACAGTGGACAACAGGGGAAGACTAGTAATCGACGAACAGTGGACCACACGCACGCTCGCACACACACACACACATCGGCATCTACCAGTCAGCTGTTGGTAGGCACCCCGCAAAAAGCAAAAAGGAAAAAAAGAAAAAGTGAGACCACCATACCCCCCGAATACTCCCCCACCCAGCCCGGTAACCCCTCTAACACCTCCATAACCCCCCTAACACCCCCCTAAACCCCCCATGACCACCCCCAACAACCCCATACTGCCTTTTCCATGCTGCACCGCAGCCTGGCTACTCATCCACTAGCCCTGTGTTGCCTTGGTGCTCTCCCATTTGCCACGTGTTAACCCTGCTGCTTGGCTTTGGTGCTTGCCTGTCCACTTGCCTCCCCCATGCTGCCCTTCACCTGCCCACTTGCTTGCCCTGTTGATACTGGCTTAGTCACCATGCTTCCTGTCCTGCTGCCCGCTGACCACGGCTGCTCACTTGACTGTTCACCTGGCTGTTACTCATCTTGTTGCTTCGCTTTCCGCTCGGCTGCCCACTTGCCTCACTTCCCCTCGCCCGTCTGCCCGCTTGCTTGTCTTGTTAATACCTGTTTGGTTGCTCCGCTGCCAGTCGCTTGACTTTTCGTCTGGTCGCTACTTATCTTGTTGCTCGGTCTCCTTCCTCTTTGCCTGCCTTCCCACCCTCCCTCTGCTTTACTGCTGCCAGCTTTGCCTTGCTGCTTGCGTTGCAACCTCACTGGCTTTCCACTCCCAACAGAGATCAAAGTAGTAACTCCAAACGTCAATACGCAGCGAGGGTTCAACGTGACTCAGCGAGGGTTCAACGTGACTCAGCGAGGGTTCAACGT